ATAGATTAAAAATGAATGATATTTAATCATGATTAATCAAAATTAATCCACAGGAACCCTGTGATTAATCTGATTAAAAATTTTAATAATTTGACAGCGCTAATAATAATACATTTTATTTATATAGCGCTTTTACAAGAACTCAAAGATGCCTTACAGAGAAAGTACACAGAAAACAGATTACACATTATGCATATGGAAGGTTAAATGCCTTAGCAAAAAGAAACGTTTTTAGCTTTGTTTTAAAATCTGAAACAGAGGTCGATAAACAGATGGCAGTAGGAAGTGAGTTCCAAAGGCGGGGAGCATTGTTACAGCGAGTGGAATTATAGAGACCTCTGGACCGATCAACTGACATAGGTAACGAATTACCTAGGATGAGAATCTGTACTTTCACGGAGAATATCGTCCGGGTATGGCAGTGGATTCTGGCAGTCTCTAAAAACCCTCGCCCTGCGGAGAGAGCCCCTCACGATTCGCGTGCCAGTGTCGTATGGATCATCCAGGAACGCTGGCATTGTCTTCAGAGAAGTTGTAGTTGGAGCGGCTGTACTCATATAGGGCTGGCTTACGCAGAAACCTCGACTTAACCAAGAACAAAAGATTTTAGACTTAGCGTAAGTTGCCATAGCAGCATGCCTCAAGTAAAACTTACCCACCTTTCGTAGTACGGGTTAATTGCGAAGTTACACCACACGTCATCAAGTTACTCACAAAGTTGCCCTGATAAGCCAGTAACCCCGCTTAGTAGTACAGGTCACAGGTTAACTGTCTCGCTTAGTTATTGTCTCAAAGAATGTCTGACGTGAGGGAACAGATTCCCAAAAGGTTGTTCCGTCCGCGATCTCACTACCCATGTCATGTAATCTGTTGAATTATTTGTCCTCATCTGTCAGAATATTTTACATTATCTGATTGAATTATATTGTTAACCTGTAAGGTGTACCAAAATTACATGATTTCGTTTGAGTTTGTGGGAGAATGAATCTTATATATACGTATATAAAAAAATGGAACCCTGTAGTCAGTGCTGTGAGTAAAAGCAAGACGAGAAAGCAGAGCATAAAAATCATCTTTTTTGATGTAATCCTCTGTGTGATACTTCCATAATACAGAGAACATAGCTGAGAGTGCAACATAATCAATATAATAAAGCCTATAAAATCACATCTTAGCATTCCAATTAATTCCAAAATTATTACAGTAAAATCCCATTATAG